ATAACGGTAAAAACAGATCGGCGTGCATTCACTTTTCCCCGTTGCGAACGGAGTGCAGTTTCTATCGCATATACCAGACGAAGACTGCTACAGGCATGCAATACCTTTTAAAACTGACGAGTCATCGATCCACCCAGTCACCGTGTACAAATAACTCTAATGGAATTACCCTTTCCTTTCGGTGTTTCGTTTCGAGATCGGAGCCGATCCGCATCTGCCGCGATCCGCTCTCCCTATTCCAGATCGAATCGCAGAGTTCGATGAAGTTAACGATCGCTACCGAATATCAACTCGATCACCGGAGTCTACGTTGTGCAAAGTACATTCTGATTAACCCTTTCGCTACAAGTATAGACGCGTATACGCGTATTATAGGATATACATGTGTATACGCAGCAGTAAAATATCGACATACGTATGTACGTGTATTGCTGTCCATAAATCACAGGGCACTTGTTAATCTTAAACACAAATTTCCAGGGAACAGGTTTCTAATAAAATGTTCGAAACGGCATAATTCGGTTTTCCTTATGGCACACACCGTAACTTTCTTTCTATAAATTTCATTCGTTCGAACGAGATGTTAATTAGCGTCCGATTGAACGAACTTCTACCTGTTTAATCCACTTATCTAAACGTGGAAAATTACAGATAGTAGAGAAAATCGCTGGACTCTTATCTCATATTAGATTTACTCGTATCGCGAAGTTCGTACGAACGCTTGAAAGGAATTTGAAAGAAAATCTGTATCGTTTCTTAGATATTCCAAGATTTATTGTCGTAGAATAAAATCTGGTGCCAATTAAAGACCGTTAGCTAGAATTTCAAGCAGAACCTCGTACCTTGTAATTCGTGAAATAAGTCTCCGAAACGTATAGATGCTATTTAAACTAGCGGTGTCTATTAAGGTTGAAAAGTAGGCTAACGTAGAGGCTGAAGAAGATTCGATGCTCGAGTGAAAGCTCTGACAACTGAAGTCGAATGCAAACCTTGTGACACCATATACCTGCGTAATTTCTTCCTCCGTTCTAATTGCTCACAGAATTTTAAACGTAACTCGATATATTATGTTTCCGAAAATTGATTTCTTCTTTTATACAAACGTACGTATAATATCGTCTTAAGTCGCAATTTTCCGTCTTCTCTGTTACGTAATTTTCAATTTCTTATTTGCAGACGATTCCGGTGTGTCAAGGTTCGAGGGGAAGGTGACGAGCAGGTTTCAGACGAGAATCTTCAAGATAGCTCGAACGAATCCGGCAAGAAACCTCGTCGACAGAAACGAACATGCTCGTGATAAACCAGCGTCAAAGGCATCCTTGTTGGAGGATGCTGCTCGCCATCGTCATTTTATCCGGCCTCATTAGGTATTGCGAACCAATGTCCACGAAGAGGCTAACAGACTCGTCTCCATCGTCGTTACCTACGTTATCGAGAAGTTCCGGCGAATCGAGGTCACAGAATCTTGGCTCGCCGAGTGATCTAGCCTGGCAAGCTTGGCTCCTTCTGGGCTCGCAAACAGGGGGACACTCTAGCTTGGATTCCGCCAGTTTTCTTAAACGAATCACGCCTAAGAGCGTATTCATCGCTCCTGAACTACCAGCTTGTCCCGATGGATATCGAGCGGACACGATGGGCAGATGCGTGAAAAGAGTGATCATCAATCCTCAAGCTCACATCGGTTTCCTTTTGCAACAATTGAACAACAGATATAGTAACCAAGCTGGTGGTTCCGAAGCGTCGTCTAATAATAAAAAAAAGTCCAGTGGCCCGCTGCAGCTGAACATCCCGTTGTTTTCCGACACGAACACCAAATCGGTTCCGGTAGACCACGAGGAAACCAGAGGAGACCACTCGATAAACATACCGATCGTGGTTCCTTCGAGAGAGGATGTGCAAGTAGAGGAGATAGAAGAGGAGGTGGAGGAAGTGAAGGAGGTAGAAGAAACGAAGAACGTAGAAAAAGTAAAGGATTTGATAGAAACGAAGAACGTAGAAGAAGCGACGGACGTAATAGAAGTGAAGAGCGTAAAAGAAGCGAAGGACGTAATAGAAGTGAAGAGCGTAAAAGAAGCGAAGGACGTAATAGAAATGAAGAACGTAGAAGACATGGAAGACATAGAAGAACCGAAGGAGGTAATAAAACGAACGGGCTTTTTTACTCGTAAGAGCGATATTCATAAATGGATCAAGTTCTTTCGATCAAAATGAGCACAAACAATGTCGTTCAAAGCGTTGGACACTGTGTTCCGTTCTACCATGTTTCGCTAGAATTTTAGTAAAGTACGAGCTAGATGACACCGTATTTAGACTCATTTTCATTGAAAAAATCTTACTTGTTCGTTCGTAATACGATCATCAACGTATAATAACAAGTACAATGGAATTAAAAATAGAGTTAATAGAGTACAATAGAGTTAAAAATTCTGTGTCGATTATATTGCACTTGCAGGTTATTCAAAACATTCGAAGCTATAATTATTACTTTGAATATTCTTTGTTCTTTGAACATCCTTGCTAGAGTTATCCTTGCTTTATCGAATTAAAAAACCTGTTATTCCAAACTTCGAATAACGAACCCTAACGGTCAAAGTAACTTTATCCAATACTTGGTCGAATTAAAGTTTTACCGATCTGCATTTATGTTGTATCAGACGCTGAACACCAGCGAAGGAAACGAGGAGGAGGAAGAGGAGGAGGAGGAAGAGGAAGAGGAGAACGAACCCAGTGTCACCCCTGGGAACACCACTATTTCTGACGAGCCTTCAGAAAACGAGGAAGACGATCAGAGTACCGCGTCTACGCTCGACACGATAGTCCCCGTAGCGGAGTTCGTAGACGATACGAACGACACGAATTTCTCCGACGTGATCGACTATAAGATCCCGATCGATCTCCCCACGCCGTTGAATATGTCCAACGTAAGAGCAACGAACGCTAGCGACGATCAAGAATTGTGGGGCGAAGAGTCGCAACTCTTGAACTCGACCGAAGTGTCACCGATGTTAATTCTTCTTTCATCGACGACAACGATGTCACCGAATTCGATAGCACCTGAGATAGAACTAGAACTGGCCAACAGTACTCGGAGGACTGTTCAATTGTAGTATTGTTCTCCGTTTATTAGATCTGTTTCTTTTCCTTTAACTCAACTTCCTCTCGTGGAGGAACTACGATTGATGATACCTGACCCTACTACCGGGGTCACAAGCATCTTCTTCGTGAGTTCGTGAACCTAAATCCCGGCACGTGCGTACGACATTGCGTATAAACTACACGTAGTAACGCTATATATGTAATGTTATCGTAATTCATAATTCGACTGTACGAAAGCAAATTGCTGGATTTACCTTAGGACGCTATTTTCTTGTCGCCGAGTATTGCACGTAAAATTATTCTTCGGTATTTTATCTTTCACCTGTTTCTTATCGTTTCTTATTTATTCCTTATACGAAAAACGCAAGATCGATTAATTTCCGATTATTTCTCTTATTATCGTCACATCAACGACTTTTAAAGAAGATGGTCTTGTGACAATCGAACTAGACAACGATCCGCGATCCATCAATTGTATATACAAGTTTTCCTTTTTGAGTTCAACTCTTTGAATTGAGGTCATATCTGAATTGAGATCTGAGACATATTTGACGTTTTACCCTGACTAATTTATTACAATAACTTATTTTTAAAATATGTTTTTAATTTTTGACTATAATTTCAGTTTCATCGTCAATAACACATCTGCGCTGATATGTTTCTATTAAATTAAGTTGTGCGTGCATGGATGTAATATATAGCATTAGTATCGAAATATTAAAAAAAAGAATGTTTTATAAAGAATGACATAGAAGAGTTAAATAGGATCTATGGATCTTCGCAAAGAATCAATCAAAATCTTACCACGTTTTCATAATACTGAAATTCATATATGGACGCGTGCTTGTAATAATAATATGACATAGTAAAAACGCGCATTTGTATACTCGTATAATCGCAAATTACGACATTTTCTATCGAATCATGAAAAGATCATCTTCGAAAATACCCGTGTACTATGTATATGTATATGTACCGAAATCTGAGTTCACCAACTCACGGAGAACATGCTTGTGACCCCGGTATATCGAATCAGACTGATTTTAGCGGTATTTGCTTTATTTATAGAACATTTATAGAACAGAGAAATCATGAATCCCTCTGTCACAAATAAATCTCTCGAAAGAGGTGCGCGTTAATCTGCTCGGCAGCGACCAAGTATTGTCCATACAGCTTCATCATGTGCGTCATCGTGTCTGCTCTTGTACGGAGAAACATAAACTGTTGCGATCGTACTTTCTTTCTTGAAATTTGTTTTTTTTTTTTCTTCTTTTTATACGTGGATTAAAAAAGGCAGAGAGAAAGAGAGAGAGAGAGAGAGAGAGAGAGAGGGAGAGAGAGAGAGAAAGAAGAGAATTGTAGAACACGTGCTTTGGAATTTTGATATAGAACGTAAAGAAAAGATATTGTGATGTAAAAAAAAAAACGAATCTCTATCTTATTTTGACACAAATCTTTTTAGAATTTGTTTAGTTTAGGCGTATACGCGGTATTATTTCTTTTAGGATATTATAATTGAACAAAATTAATGAAAATTACTTTATGTACAAATTAGTGACAGTTTCATTATGAAAACGTATCTACTAGTAATGTGACATTTTCCTATAAGAATATTAATAAATAAGTAAAAAATTCGTTTCGCTTAAGAAACTTAAATATTTGTTATCTTCTTTTAATTTAATTTTTAAATTCCAAATTGCAACTGCGTGTATCAACCAAGATCGAATGTAGTGATATTTAATTTTCATCGAGATATGATTGACCATAACTGAAGGAAATCATCATATTAAATTCTATGAAGAACAATGAACACTTGCATCTGCAAAAATCGCAACACTCTATGTCTCTCCAGTGTAATTGAGTCGAAGCTTACACCTACATTGTATAGCGAAAATACGTATCTATGTAGTATGAATGTTTTCGGTATGCGATTTGATCATTGTTCTATGAAAGCGCAGCGCTCCGAAGATAATGCTCGGAACAGTGTGAATCGGAATCACCTCGTCGTTTAGCTTTACGACCGTTGTTACGATAATTCTTTTCCACTTTTTACACGTACGATAACTTTTTTGTACGAAAATACGCGGTAGAATGCATGCAATTACCGAAAAAAAAAAATTCTTATTATCAGCATTCATCAGATACCATTCGAATTTTTGACGAAATGAAATTATATCTAATTACGTGTGATTATCACGTAGGTACGAAACGAAAGTTACGAATCTGACATCGCGGCCAGTAAATCTTTTTTACTGCTCTACGTATGCTTCGATGTGGTGTGTAATCTCTCTTTCTCATCTATTTGAATGTTGGTTCGTGTACATATTAATTTTATTAAGAGAAATTGTATATACAACGCATAATTAAGAAGCGTCATCGGCGTTTTAAATGTGTATTAATTGTAACTGTATAAAAATATTATTGTATTATTTATAGCTAAATATATCGATGTATATTACACATTGTCGTGTCGTGTCGTGTAGGAGTCGTTAGATCGCAGAATGGAAGAACTTATAAAAATCACTCGATGTTGGTCCTGTACCAAAATATCATGCTTTGTTATTATTTACAACCTTCCAGGCATGATAAGCGATTATGTTACAAATCATTTTATTCATTAAGCATTTTTTATTGTACATAACTTAATTGTTAAAGAAACTGCATGTTACGTTGTATTACTGGATGTACTTTTTATTCCTTTGAATCCCCTAGCTATGAGAAACTTCTCTGTAGACTCGTCTCTCGTTGCCTCCGGTCTTATGGATTTTACATATTTATAAAATTTTATCAAATCTTTCTCAAATTGTTGAGATTTTCCACCGTCCCATATTTTACAGACAAATGTTCCATTTCTTTCACTAACTTGTAAAGCAAATTTCAAAGCAATATATGCGAGTTGTATTATCATCTCATGATCTAAGTCTCTTATGCCAGACGCATTTGGTGCCATATCCGATAAAACTACATTAGGTTTTTTACCATTTAAATGTTTTAGAAGTAGATTTCGAGATGCTGGATCAGTAAAGTCCATGCCACTCAATAATGTTGCACCTTCGATCGGATATATAGGTTGCTTGTCTATTCCAAAAACAGTTCCAACATCGCCACCTTCCTTAGCATTTGCATTTGTTGCTTTAATAGCAACTTGTGTCCAACTGCCAGGAGCAGCCCCACAATCAATTACAATATGACCTGGCTGCAATATTTTAAATTTATCATTGATTTCTAACAGTTTGTATGCACTTCTACATCTATAGTTTTCTTTTCGAGCCATCTCCACGTAAGGATCTTTTAACTGTCTTACAAGCCATAATTGCGAGCTATGCTTCTTCCCTTTTAAATCTTTTGGTACTTCTCGAAATAATGTAGTACAACTATGCAAGTCCCTTAATATCAAAAGATTTCGAGAAAAACGCTTCATGATATAACCTAGCTAAATGCTGGCAATGTTTAAAAAAAAGCTTCATATGCAAAATATATATACACAAATGAATTGTCTTCTTATTTTTATAATTCAGTTACTATTCGATCATTCATTACACAAAATTACTCATACAAATTAAACATCGTCTAAATAATATTGTAACACTTAATGTGGTCGAATATAATATCTTGTATAGTTACAAGTTGTAAACTACGATTCGGCTCAAGCACATATCAGCTGATTAATACAAATGAATACGCATGCGTAGAGATTCTATGATGGTGACGGAACTTCGTAGTTACAAAAAATATCTCATGTGCTTGCCGGCGAAGATGTGATAGAATTCCACGGGTAATGATCGTTTGAACGAATGTTGCGATTAAAATAGTGATTTACAATGAACCTAACCACAGGGAATCCTCACGGAAACGGTTTGCTTTACGCTGGTTTCAATCAGGATCAAGGTACGTGACCGAGTGTGCTACATTTGACAGTCCAGTCATGTACTGTCAAATTTATTTTTTTACTCCTAACCTTTGCATCTAACACCTGTCGAATAAATTTATCGTAATTTCACTTTTCTATACGATTAATATCAATTTAACCTGAAAAAATATGTTTCCATCAAACTCTGTTCGCTTAAAATGGCTAAAATGAAAGAATTTATTATCACTTTCTTCTTTTTAACCTCATTCGTGTACAATTATTCCAAATTTTTGATAATAGCTTTGCATTGAACATATTTTATAAAGTTATTTATAAATCATTCGTATGACCCAGTATGTTTTAATTATTTAAATTTCTTTTTCAATTATATTATTAGAATTTCCTTTTAATTGTTTATAATGAATTGTTTTAAAACTCATTGGTTTTATTTGAATTATTAGAAAATCTATTTTTATATTTCATTTCTATCTCTCTTATACGTTTCTCACTCTTTCACATATATCGTATAATCGTATAATATGATATTATTCCATAAAGAGTACCATGATAATCATTCAACTGTGGTGGTTTATCTTCTTAGTGTTCCATGTGTCAAATAAGGAATATATATATATATATACATATATATCGAATACCATATTGTGATTTTAAAGGGAAAAGACCGTGTAATGTAACTGTGTAATGTAAGAGAATAGATAACAATATCTTAATTGTTTGTATAATCTTTCCATTTGTAGGATGTTTCGCTTGTGGTATGGAAAATGGCTTCAGAGTATATAATTGTGATCCTTTAAAAGAAAAAGTACGTCATTTCAGTGATGGAGGCCTTGGTTATGTGGAAATGCTATTCAGATGTAACTATTTAGCATTAGTTGGTAGTGGAGCAAAACCTATGTATCCAACAAATAAAGGTAACATATTTTATATATTTTCTCTATCTTAAAATAAATGAAGCGGATTATTTGTGATTTATTTTATATAAATCTTGCAGTTATGATATGGGATGACCTTAAAAAATTACCAGCAATTACTTTAGAGTTCAATGCTCCTGTAAGGGGTGTTAAATTAAGAAGAGATAGGATAGTAGTAATTTTAGAAGGAGTTATAAAAGTATATACGTTTACGCAAAATCCTCAGCAACTTCACGTGTTTGAGACTAATCCAAATCCCAGAGGTCTATGTGTCTTATGTCCAAATAGTAGTAATTCCTTGCTTGCTTTTCCTGGTAGAAAAAATGGACACGTTCAAGGTAAATTTTAAGCAAGAAACTTTGGTCTTCTACATTCTTTAAATTTATAAAATAACTTGTTTTCATTATTACAGTGATAGATTTGGCTAATACGGAGAAGCAGCCATTAAATATCGAAGCGCATGAAACACCTTTATCATGTATAGCTTTAAACTTACAAGGTACTAGACTAGCTACAGCTTCAGAAAAAGGAACCTTAATAAGAGTATTCGAAACACAGACTGGAAATATGATTAACGAGTTAAGAAGGGGAGCTAATCATGCAAATATTTACTGGTAATTAAAACGAAATGTTTTATAAACAGTTAAATATTACTAAAGTACTAACTAATTACTAAAGTACTTACTAAAGTAAAGTTAAATAGTACTAAAGTAATATTATATTATTATAGCATTAATTTCAACCATGATTCAACTTGGTTGTGTGTAGCAAGTGATCATGGAACTGTACACGTTTTTGCTGTAGAAGATCAAAAATTAAATCGTCAGTCTAGTTTAGCATCTGCTACTTTCCTGCCAAAATACTTTAGTTCCAGCTGGAGCTTTTGTAAATTTCAAGTTCCAGGTGGTCCACAATGTATGTGTGCATTTGGAACTGATAACAATAGTATTATAGGTCAGTATTATAAAGTAATATATTCAGAAATGTACATATATAGCGTGGTAATGATTTCTTACATAACAATGGTTTTTTTGTTGTTACAGTAATATGTGCAGATGGTAGTTATTATAAATTTGTGTTTAACAATAAAGGTGAATGTACGAAAGATTTTTATGCACAGTTCCTCGAATTAACAGATGACAAAATGTGATTGGAAAATAAGGAAGAGGTAAACTATACACTGATTAGTATATACTGATTATGAAGTGATTAAATAAAAATGTATATCTTTAACATTATGTCTTCAGTATTCATTGGATGAGATCACATGGAATAGTTTATATGGAAAGTGAGTACTGTGTTGTTATTTGAAGTCGTATTATATGGTAGAGGACCAAATGAAAAGTACTATTGTTTGTTGGTGTTATGTCCACTGTGCAGAACTGTGCTAACTATATGATATAAAAAGAACTTTAAGGAGCGCTAGAAGGCCTATTTCTGAGATGTTTACTTATGGAACTATACGTTCTTAGATGTTACACGCAAAAAGAAGAACTCGATGTTTATGAGCTTTGCTTAATATATCAGTGTAAAAGGCAATTTTCTTACACATAAATTGAACAATCTTTTAACTAACGCTGATGCAAATATATAAGGAATATCATTCAGAAAGTAATTCAACAATTTTTAATTCGTTATGCTCGGCAATTAAATCATACGTATTTTTTTATATTTATTTTATAGAATTACAAATGTCTAATTTAACATAACAGAAAATATATGATGTTCAAATATATTCCGTATTTTTCGTATTTTGTATCATAAATGTTGACGAATTACCGTAAAACTGTGAAATTTGGCTACTTGTCGATCGTATTCGATAATTAACCAACTAAAAAAATGAGACGTGTATAACGTAATCGAGTTTTATAACCTTTATTTTTATTTTTATCATTTCATACATTTAATATACATATACACAAGAAATACCTACATTCAGTTATTGTTATTGAAATATTACCACAAAATGTGAAGTTTGTAGTGTCACAAAGAAGTTGGGATCGAATATAAAATAAAAATGATCATGAGACGAAACGCTGTATTTGTTTATAATAAAATATAAATAATATTGATCAGTTGCAAGCATGTATTTTATTTCTTTTTTTTTTTTTGTTTTGTAATATATATATATGTATATATACATATATGTATATATTATGCGAAATTTGACGAAAAGTCTTACGCAACATTAGTAATTAAAATTCAGTCTTACAGAAAGAGAATACATGTTGCTGAACCAAAGCTTTTTAACCTAGAGTCGTTGTTAAATTGAAAAATTTTTACAATTTGTCATGGTATCGGGTTTGAAATGAAAAAAAATATATATATATATATAATATATATATATTATATTACGATATATGCGTCATCGCATTTCGATATGCAGTTTAGATTTACATTAGGAATATTGTAATTATTCATCTCTGTGCGTTGTTCGAAATTTCAAGATATCATTAAAAAACAACGCGAAGCTCTTAACAATTAATCATAACATATGAACAATAACACGTATAATAATACGAAGCAGGCTTTTTGTACTGCAGATTTATTTTGAGCTTTTGTAAAATGGAACATGTCCATTGTGTTATGTATAGAAATAAGATGCACAGTGTTTTTCTAACATAAATTTACCGCGCCTTTCTCATTCGTCTTTCCTTCCTTTTGTTCAATTATCGTCAAAGACGGAACACGTTGACATTTGACTAGATTACAAAATTTTACATGACAAGATTGAATCCGTAGGCCTTGTTGGCAGACCGAGGGTGATCTTAAAATTTGTTTAAAAAACACTGTCATTTGAAAGGTACTTCCAGATAACGAGAGCTCTTGCCATCGAACGCAACCTTTCTCATTCATTGTAACGAATAAATCCGACTTTCTGTCGCTATCTCTATATCTTTGTTTAATAATCTTTAAACCTCGAAAGGTTTATTCGCGCCCGCCTTAACGGCTTTCGATTTTTTCACGACTGGAACTGCAGACTTTTTCTTCACGCCATGAAGAACGTGGGTCAGTCCTTTCTTAGTCTCGAGACTCTTGTAAGCGCTGTACACGACGAGCCACACGTAAGAATTACTGATTGCGACGAGCAGAACGATTATGCCTGGAAATGAAACAACTTTCGATAACGATATAAATCAGAAATTTCCGAAATGGTAGAAATTTTTGGTCGACGATAGATATGTCACGAATATACTAAATTGGTGCATATGAAATAATAAAATAAAATTTTGTCGTATCGCTCATATATAATTCTTATACATCCAATCTTGCATTTATGGATTATTTCGTTATCATTTCGTTAGATATTTAAATGAATTATTCCAGAATAAAGAAAGTATAAAAGTAGCATTGGAATAATTTTACAACCTAAAGTTGACAGTTCGTACGAACACAGAATATTGAGATTAGGTAATTGGTAGAAAGATTATATACATACAATTACGTAGAAGTTATTTGAAGGTTTCATACGCACCGATATAACAATTTAATATTTGTTATAATAATTTGCTCGCTTCGTTCGTTTATCAACTTACGTTCACAAATATCAGCATTGCCTCCGAGCGTAGCAATAAACGGGCAGCCTTGTTCTACCACGAACACAGAAATTGTCAACGCCGATATTATGGTCATCATGACCACCAACCAGGGCGCCATGAAGTGGCGATTGTTCTACGGAAAGGAACAACTTGTCTTACCACGAAATTATTCTCGAGAATGACTACGTAAACTGTAATTACCGCCAGCACACCGTACAACAGCAGGATAGTGGAAATAAAATGTATCACTGTGATCACCAGACCGCAATATATCGAGTACACCGTTTCTAAACACGTGTAAAAGATTTTGAAAATTGATGTATAATGAGCGAATAGCAGAGATAAACAGTTAAATGAATGCGAAAGTATTACAATATAAAATATTTGTAAGATTATATTGTAAGCACCAGTTGCATTATGGTGCGCCATATCCATTTTCTTAGTATTTAGATGATTAGACGATATATCTTCTAAGGCTTCTCTCTCGAGAGCATCCTCTGTGTCCCTTACTACCATTTCTTGAATTCCCATTGTGTGTACTAGTGCCAGCACGAAAAATGTCATATTGAATCCTGATATAAGCTGTGTTAAAAAATGAAGTAATTTAATATAATTTAATGCATGCTAATTTCTTATGTGTTTCTTACACAGTGGTAATAATTAAATGATAGATCATATTTACCAATTGAAATACTGCTATTAACACTGTACCCTCTTCCAGGTTAAAATAATGCACGAAATTCTTTAACAGTCCCACCTTCATTTTGCCTATTCTTTTTAACAGAACGCTGTACAATTATTATTCCTGAAAACATATAGAAATAATAAAAATTTACATCCAACGATTGAAGCGACTCCTGTGATAAAGAGACAGTTCCACTTTCCACAAATTTGAGAACATTCAAAGAAATCAGCACACAATCAATTACAACCAAATCATTATTCAGAACGTGCCATCAATTCAGTGTCAACTAATATTCGTAGTAATAAATTTGTGTACTTTTGATTGTGAAATCTATACCTTTCTTTCTCTTCCAATAAATGCAATTTAAATATTGGAGCTGCCTTCTATCGCTGAAAATCTTTCAATCTTTATCAGATCCAAGCATCAATGAAGGAAAACAACAATAGAAACATCGTTCAAAATTTGTATACCGATTTGTGTAGCGTGTGATAAAGAATTCACACCAAAGTCTCCAATTATCAAGCGGAGCATCAAATATATCGACTATCATACAAAATACAAAAGTTCGCTGTAATGATCGCAGCAGTCCTTTGAATTAATATCCTAAATAAAAAATCGCAACCCCCGGAGGTTACGAACAAGGTCACTATTATGTACCGTGGTGTACATACAACGATAACAATAATACAAAAATAAGGAAGAAACAGAAAAAGGAAGTGTGAGGCTCAATGGAGAATGCAGTCGCTCTCCAGGTTGAAGATTCGTCGCTTTCGAATGGAAAGCGAGCGACGCGATATGTCGTTACTCACCTCGCGGAAAAAGGAGCACGGAATATCACTGGAACGTAGTTCACAATGAGAATCAATAACTTTCACTGTCTCTCGCTTGGACGAAAGCGAAAGATGCGATTGTCAAATGAAATGGAATCACACGAAGGATAAAGAACTTGCCATGAAAATATGTTGCTCCAGTTTTGGTAGCCTCTTTAAGAGGCTATCGAGAGCGAACGATAATTCAGAGGGATGACCGTTTGCCTGCGTTCGACGCACAAAGCGCGAGTTTACCTCGTCCAAGGGATTGAAACGTAACCCCTAGCGGTAGATTAAACGACATGCGCACCACACACCGATCCTCTGCCGCATCCTTCCAGATGCATCCGTTCTCAATTGATCATTGATTGCTAGTTCCGCAAAATGATTAATTCTCGACCCGATAGATCTGAGTTATTCGAAAGCTTGTTTTCAGTTTTATTGATCCGCGATTAAGATTGAAAGTGTTTTAAATGGGGTGTGGTTTATCAGGGTTTGTGGTATGGTTTATTATTGATTTACTGATTATATGGGTGTTCTGTGCAAAGAGATATTAATATATACATATATATTGCGCTTCATACAAAACAGATAAATTGATGTTAAATGTGGAGGATGTTTATTTTTTACCCAAATACAATTAGTTGGACATCTGTATTTTATTCTATACATTTATATATATTATGTTATATTATATAATTTATATTTTATTTCATCTATATTTTATAAGGAATTTGTTTATTATTTAGTCGGTTTTCCTTAAAATAGATTATTAAACCGATATTTTGAAACAATCGTATTTTAACAAATTATCCTGCCTTACAACGTATTTGTGCCTTAACTTTTGTTTTATCGCGTATAGTATTTTAACTTCGATAAATCTCTTTGCATACGGTACAATTCCTATTATCGAAAGGTAGTATGATTGTTTTAAAATATCCATAAATGCTTCAATTTCGTTGAAATCGTTTATATTCCATTACTACGTTGAAACGAATGCCATATGATTGCTTTATTGTCAAAGTGTATCGTGGAAGTTTGAATCACAGTTCAAAAGTTGGTTCGATCGAGATTGAATCATTTTCAAAGTAGTCATAGAAACGCGACACGGACGCGGCCCTCCATACTCGTATCGTGGTTGTCTTTTGAACGTAACACGAATTGTGACAGTTCGTTCGTAGCTTTTAAACTATGTTAACGTGCTGATAGCCTCGATATACGATCTTTCCAGGAGGTTAAAAAATGGATCAGAAATATCAGAGAGTGGAGATGGGGGTGGGTGCGTTTCATCACCCACCGAGAGCAAAATACAGCGAGGAGACGAAGAATTTGATCAAACGTAAGCAAATTCATGGAAAACTTAATCAAACAATTTTTAAATTCCTTACTGGAAATAATTTTTATATTTCATTTTTCTTGTATTTATATCGAATTAGGAATACGATAGTGTTGCAACAAACAGGAACCCATTAAATATTTTCTTATTGTTTAATAGAATCATTAATGTCTTCGCAAGAACATATTAATAGGTTTAATTTTTCTCTTATAAAGTACTTAATATTGATTTACGTTATTTTTCTTGTCGAAATGAACATTTTGACAAATCTGTGATCTTAGTTCTAATGGAAGAATCCAAAGTGAGTATGATGAAAAGAAAATCTATTCAAGAAGCGATTAACAAAGGTGAATCCTTGCCAGCTGCTGTGGAAAGATCGGAAACAGGATCGAATAAGCATAATTTAGGATATCAGGTAGAGTTAATAAGTTCAGATTAACGGGCAATAAGAAAATGAAATTAATAAAATCTATCTATGTAGGTTTTAATGCCTACCGTTTGGAAAAAACGATCGCAAGATACGATTATTAAAAGCGGCGCGTATGAGAGGGAACAATATAGAAGAACGTCTCCTTTACGTAAGTTTATATCGGTCTTTTACATAATGATTGGACTGTACAAATATTTATTGCAATAATAAAATACTTATTTGCATCAAATAAGATTAGAAGTTAATAGCTTCCTGATTTGAGACCAAGTTTTGTAATAGATTTTTATCTAAATTTACGTGTATTTATATTCTCATTATTAACATTCAGGTAATACAGAAAAGCAAAAGCGTCATTTAGCATGCATGATGGCGTATGGAAAGGACATGCCAGAAACTCCTCGTGGTCCAAGGATTCTTCATAAAGCGAGACGAGAACCACACTTTCCTGATACCAGTGATCCCATCGATGATTGTATATAACTAAAATAAATAGCTATATTATATTCTTGTTCTAATATACTTTCTCTTATTTTTTTAGTGGTTCGTGGAATTCAAGAAAGAATGGAGTTTTTAAGCGACATGGAATGTCTTGGAATGGGGAAAAAATATCGTCTTACAATACAACAAGAAATAGCGCATAAATTACGATTGATCGAATCTGTAGACAAGCAGAGATCGAAGGAAATTCGAAAAGAGATCAGAGAACTTGAAAGACCATTGCCAAAACCATTTCCTTTAGGACAGCTAGATGACAATTAATAATTTTTATAATTCACGGCCTTTTATACTTAACCAATTTATATTTTTTATAAAGTTTACAGAACATATATTATATAGTATTTTAGATAAACCAAGCGATAGGTATAATAAAATAACAAAACGTCAATATATACAATATATTATTCTACTTATATAAAACTGTCAGAGGACAAGCAATTCGTATAACTAGAATTCACATTTTTTGTTCATATAATGGACAGTATGTTCATATAATTAGACACTAACTAAAATTTCACTTAAATAAATGGAGTTTTACGATGTTTTTACACAAGTTTTTCATATTTCGATAATTTACAATTTCAATTGATACGTATATACGTACATATTCGATACACAGAATATTTATATACGACGATGTAATAATAATGGCATAATAAATACAATTTATGCATATAACGCATAACATTTATATATAATAGATTTTTAATATTATATAATATTAAATAATTCTTTGGAACGCAAAACTTCAGAGTTACGAATTTGCCGCGCTCGAATCGTACACAATGGCTAGTGTAAGTAGGACGTGTGAGAGGGCGCATGCGCGGCGGGAGAAATAAGAACGGTCCTGCCGGAGAAATCGCGGTAGCTCGTCAGTTTTGCGCCACACGGCAATGGCGTATGTTGTTGGTGTTTTTGTGTTGTCGTTGGTATCTTGCCGACAGGTCATATTGTCATTCCATCAAAATAAGCAACGCGAGTGCTCATAAAACATCGTACGAAAAATAATCCGTGGAACGTGACTGTATTTTCGAAAAGCCGCGGCGCAACCATCTCGCAGGATCCCGGATGATCTACAAGTGATCCAATATGGCGTCGACCGATCTGTCGTTCGGTAAATGATAAACCCGTGTACCGTACGCACCTTTGACAAGGTCTTCCCGAGGTCGTCCGGTTTTTAAGATCAACGTGTATCCCTTTTAACGTTGTCGAGCGTCACTAACTCCATCTTTCTTTCTCTTCCCTTCTTTCCTTCTCTTAATAGCATCATATTTGCGCGTTGTGCTTTGTTTGTACAACTTTTTTTTTTCACTGTTTGTGAATTAAACGTTTCATTATTTATATTCGATCGCGACGTAAACACATTTTCAGATATTACACGTTGGATGTATTTTTAGAATATCAACAAAATATTCACGATTAACGCTCACATTCCATCGTAAAATACGTATTGATATTACGTATACGTTAAAGAAACGGTTAGGCAAAATTTAATCGGACGAATTTATTGAAACTCCAGTTTCGAAACATTGATCATCGATATACGCTATTGCATTCGCTATCTAAAGTTGGCACATGTTTACGCAATAATAATTCTCATTAACATCTCTGGGGTTTTTCCTAATTGGTAAATAACGCGTTTGTATCGGTCTCTGCGTAATGCTAATTTTTCTGAAGAAAAGTGAGATTTCTCGTGAAGTGATGTCCTTTTATTTTGGTTCTCGTCGCGGCACCAAACCAGGCTGCATACCGGCGTTCTACAGAGAAGTCTACGAGAAGATCTGCTCTCCCACAAGTGGAAATGTAGAACGAGAGGTGTTTAAATCCCTTCTTGTCAAGTCTCAGCTGAGCAGCTCCGTTCTCAGCCAGGTATGTTTCCTTTTTGTCTCGTTCTTGTCTCTTTCTCCGTGTCGCTGAGCCTGTGCCAGCCACTGCCAGATAGAAAGAAGAGAGAGTACCGTGCCTTTAACTTTGTAATTTCTTCGCACGCCGCGCTTAGGTTAATGCCACCGTTAATGCTATAGCTGCGCGTTAACTCTTCTTCCGTATCGTATCACGGTTAAATCGTTCATGCATACTAGATGAGAAACGCGTTTTCAACTTATTACATTTGTCGCGATTAATAAAGTTATTAGATTTAATACACTCTTACGTATAATAAATAAAAAAATTATGATAATGAAAGTTAGTAAATTTAATATTAAATTCTTTGAATTAATTTTTAAGGTAAATCGTATAACTAAATTTTTAAACTAATATTCCAAGCGATTTAAAAGGTTCGCTACCAGCGTCACATATGTACGTTATTTTAACTTTAACTACTAAACAAATGGATGTACTTATCACAGAAAGCATTTACATATACGTCGTAGATACACGACTGTCATAATTCAAATTACAGAGAAACAAAATATTTAGCAAATATATATTTAGTACAAATTAGAATTCTGCATAAATAGCGATCTGTAATATATAATGCGTATTAAAAATGATCTCATTGAATATTAAGGCTCATTAATAATACAAAGTATAACGTGTACAGTACGAGGATCAAAACATGAACTTTAATGGACACTTTGCGTCAATTTTCTGTGATAACGAACGTGGTAATTAATATCTTGAACTTCAATATTTGAAAAATATTTTGAGTATAATTTAGGATATTTTTTATTCATATTTTGCTTTTATCGCAATTAAATTTATCGCAACAAAATTATTATGATAAGTAGAGTTGTTAAAACGTTGTTTTAGTATTCTTTATTTTGATGCAAAGTATGCATGGTTGTTTTGTGTGCATACAGCATGGGATTATGCAATCTTTTACCGTTAGTGAATAGCAATGATTCAATGACGCATAATGAATATTATAGCAAATGCGCGTTTCTAATCAAGTTTTTGTAAAATTTATATTTTCCTGAGTAAATTAGAAACTGTATACATCTAAAGGACAATGACTCATTGGAAGTTGAGAGATCTTTCTTATTAGTAAGCAGCTACTTTTAAGTTTAAGAAACAGTTATCGTCAGATCGTCCGTATAAAAATCGACCATGCTTCGTTAATATTAAACAATAATGGTCCTTTGTCGGTAACAGGAACAGTTCAACGTCCTGATTTTGAAACATGAATATTTTAATATACTTAAACATATTATTCTTTGCATTGCAGATAATTTAATATAAAATATAATATTTTAAGATAACAAGATAAACTACCACACGGAAATGGTAATTACCATCTTTATCTATTTCTCCTTTAATTTATTTGATGGTAACTATAGTGGATAATAAATATACCTTACATAGATATAATAGATTGTATCTAATATAATAAATTATTTCAGTATTTATTTTCAACATTTACATTAATAAAGTAAATCTTAAAAATTACACGATTTATTATTACTCGAAAAGCTACGGCATATGGGCTGTATCGTGATTCGTTTAGCCACGATACTAGTCAAGTGCACGCGTACTCGGAGGAAATTCAAAGTCGATATTCTCAAAAACAAAGCGTCAAATGAAAAAAATGTATTCCATATTTTCGACTTACTTTTTCACGTACAATCACCAGCTTCGAGTTACGTCGTCATCGACACTGGAACATTCTGTATATATTATACTACATATATTTCACGGAACAATGCGATCGTAAGTGGTAAAAATGACATTTTTTCTGTCAATGAAAATCTGGATTTGACGAGAAATATTTGCGTTGCTATCTGTTTACATTCTTCTTTAACACGAAAGCTTTGTATACTCAGGGTTCCTATATTTACATTTCTGGTTTGTTCTGGACCGATTATCAAAATATTCGGTGCTTAGTTCGATAAAGATGTTATTGAATGTCTGGCTGGTGCAACGAAACGATCGTAATTCCATTCGAATCGAATTCGAAGACCGAAAGACCAACCGAAGCTGCCTTTCCCAATTAAATCTACTTTGACCAATTTGTAGTTCGTGCACAACGGTAAACGCGCTAAACGATCATTAATACGTCACTGTCAGCGCAAACGCATCGCATGACACGAATTACATATATACATCGACACGGTTAGATAACGAAATCGTACAACGGTATACGAACTACGTGCCCGAAACAGATAATACTGCGTGAATAAATTTCTCGAGTAGCGGTAGCGGTTTCCATTGTGGAAAACCCGTTTCAGAATTTCTTTTACGATTATTATTCGACTATTAAACGCCGGAGAACGTTCTTCTTGTCGATCCTACGTATTTGCGGTCTCGTGTTATCCTTCCGAATGGACGAAAACAGAAGAAAAACGAATGGCGGAAAAGAAGAGGATCAAATAGATATTCAAACCGTGCCATATGGTATTTGACTCGAGTCATACGGTATTTGGTACTAGTATTCGGTACTAGTATTCTGAACGGTGTGTCTGAATCACTGAGGTCACACGAAACATGCATATTTAATGATATGATTCAACGTTTCGCTTATACGTAATCCTATTTAGTTGTCTATTGAGGCAAAGATCGGTTTTAAAAGAAAAAATTGTACATTTTTCCTATCTACAGGGAGAGATTGTTTTTTTTTTTTTTTTTTTAGAATTAATCGTAGAAACAAAGGAGATCTGTGTCATTATTTTCTACTTCGAAGATTCCCCTCTCTCCTCCTCAATAATTTCCTGAAACAACGTTGGACAAATGTTCTTTTTAATCCTATCTCTCATATTTATAGATATATTTTATATAAAATTAATTCTTTTCTTTTTGATATTAATAAGGATGGAGGAACATCTGTGCTAATTAAATTACACGCGTCGAATTTGCTTGTTTTAGAAGGATCGGTATTATAACGTTTGTTTTATGCGTTTATGCAATTTCAAGGCTATCGTCTATTATACCGTCGTAAGTTTCACAAATTTATCCTTGTTTGAAACTTCCTTTATCGTTGAGAGATATTATTTTACGTTGCAAAGCATGTGCCTGTGTATACAAAATGTCATTATCAGAAAAATAAGGATCTACGCGAAGTTCTGGTTACTTCTGGAATCCTCGAAATTATCATTCGTACAGGCAACTCGTGATCGTTGACAATCGCTTTGCGGTCGTTGAATAAAATTTCTTTCCGTAACGATTATATTGTCCTGTGTCTGCTGTGACGGTATCATTATTTTATCATTAACACGCCCGCTCACGATAGTCTGCACGGGACGCCCCTTTATAATAGTGGAAGATTACGTAGCAGGGTCAGCTACAAACGCTTTACAATGAATGCATCTTACAAATCTCAGTGTTTT